GTCTATGCGTAGCCCATCAGCGAATGTCTCGTCACGAAGATATAGTCCACACACCTCATACGCGGGGAAGACAATACTTTCGACTGTCGTGTTGTCCAAACTCTCTGTTATAATGTGTTCAAGACGTTGCGGGAACTCTCCGAAGGTGGAGTCCGTTCCCTTGAAACTATTGGAACGTCAGCACTGAGACATTTTACTCACGAGTTCGAAGGTCGGTACCCGTGTATGAATACAATCAAGACGACGTCTGTTTGAGGTGCGTCCGCCTGGGCATCAGGAACGGATGCAGTAGAGAACACGACTTCAGAAGCTTGCATGGCGGTAGTTCAGCATCACCAAGTGCACACAAGCGCGCATTTGTCGCAGTACAAGTGGCAAGCACTGGCGAGAGCTGTGGTCGCGGACGCGGGCACCGCAGTGGGCGGGAATTGCTACTTTTGGATGGTGCGCGGTAACCGGCTCTCACATGATTGATGCGACGCGATGAAGCGCCCGTAGGGACGATTATTGACGATGAAGTCATCTGCTGCTGTGCGTCCAGTAATTCGCATCTTGTTGTCGACCACCACGATGTCTGCTACGAATGACTTTGACCCTGCGCCTATCTTCAAGTATCTCGGACTACCCGAGGACTACGAGCCTTCCCCGCGTACAGCGCCCATCGACTTCCTCCACAGACATGTCCGAGCACTCCCTCCTCACCTTCTCAAACTCTTCTCTATGAATACTACTCCGAAGCAGAGGACTGTGATTCCAGCGATCCGGAATAGGAGACTCAAATATACTCAGTCCAATCCTCCTGAAATGTCCTGTACCAAAGCAAAGTCGACATGGCCCGCCCTATGGGAAGGAAGAGAGCGACCAGGAAAAGAGCAAGCGCAAGAAGAGAAGGAGTGGGCAGAGAAGGAGTTCTTGGGCGATGGAAAGCAACAAGTGGGGAAGCTTGGTTCGCTACTTGGGGAGTATGAAGAGGAACGCGAGTCGGAGCGAGTTAGGACAATACGCAGACAGCGGGCAGAATATATCAAATCGCTTCCTGAAGAGGAAGAGGAGAGCGATGAAGAAGAGGAAGAGCCAGGCTCTCTCGCTCCCGAACCGTTTCCCGCAGAGACTGAGGAGGCATTCCTCAGGCTTGTGAAGGAACGCTTCATCTATGGCTTTCTCGAGGTACGTGCTGCCACTCCGCATCGCTCCTCTTCTGATATCTGTCGCATAGTCAATCGATTATGATAAGGTGGATTGGGATGAGCGCTGGGATGATGACCTGGACAGGGAGGCGGAGGAACGGTGGTTTGATGACGAAGAGGAAAATTGACTTGCGGAGACTGGGCATACCGCCAACTCGAATCGGTTTCCCCTCCATAGCTTCAGCCCTATACCACATCGACCGTCGACATGGTCAATATCGCTGCTATTGATATCCTCCGATTCTCGACCTCTCTGGGGATCCCGTGACACGCCGTTCCCAGACATCCGTCGCACATTGCTGCTATGATGTAGTGAGTGAACGGGTGCACCGGCTCAGCGGCGCGGCGTTGGGTTGCTTGGTAAGACACATTGATCGTGGGGCACGATACTGTATTTAAGACTGATCTCGGCGAAAGCTTGTCTCAAGTACCCTTCAGGGAGCGCTCTTGGTTGTTCGCTCGCCATGGCCAACGTACCTCGCTTCAAATTGAATACGGGCGCGTTGATGCCTGCCGTCGGTATGACAGTACTATCCATCACTTTGCCCGCAGTTGACTCATGCCATAGTCATTGCACTGTTCCAGGATTAGGCGGCTGGGGTGGAGACACCCAAGAAGAAAGGGAGAACGCATGGAAATTCATGTTGACTGCCCTGAGGGTGTGTACCGTTCCGTTCCGTTCCATGCAACCGGGAGCTTGAGTATCGTTGCAGGCTGGTTATAGGTTGATTGACACCGCATGGAGCTATGGTAAACTGCTGGTCCAGCGGAACGTCATCGTCTGTTCTGAACTCGCAGATCAGGTACGGAGAAGGCGACTGCCTTGGCTATCAAGAAGTCTGGCATTCCCCGTGAAGAGATCTGGATTACGACCAAGTTGCAGTAAGTCGTAACTCCTCTGTTCTTTGCATCATATCTCAATCCCGATTTGTCTAGCCATCAACATGGTCCATACACCGAAAAGTTCTTCCAGGAGAGCTTGGGCAACCTGGAGACGGACTATGTTGATCTTGTTCGTGTTGGCATACGGGTCCATTGCAAAACGAATCTGACTCAGCTGCTCGTATGTCACAGTATCTCATGCATTGGCCTCAGACGTCCATATGGGTTGGTAAGTACGATCCACTGCTTTAAAAAGCTAAGGCTAGATCTTGCTGGCAGAGGGCGTTACCGAGCCCGAGGATGAGTATGGAGATTTGATTACCACCGATGAGTGGACGTTGAATCAGACGTGGGCCAAGATGGAGAAGTTGTATGAGAGCGGCCGGGCCAAGGCCATCGGTGTCAGCAACTTCTCCGTCAAGAAGTGAGTTCGTCCATCTTGTACAACCGCGCGATGCTGACGGAATGGGCAGTCTCGAGAAGCTCCTCGAGACTGCAAACATTGTTCCAGCTGTCAACCAGGTTGAGTAAGCATGAACATCTGTGTGACGGTTACCTCGTTACTGATCATTGCGCGACTCAGGATGCACCCGTACCTAGCGCAACAAGATTTGAAGGACTATTGTGATAAGAAAGGCATTGTCCTTACGGCATACACTCCTACAGGTATGTCTATCATCGCAAGCGTATGTTAGATTGAGCCCTTAATTCGTTGCGGATAGGCTACAAGAACGTACTCACTGACCCGACCATTACTGAGCTCGCCGAGAAGTACAGAGCCAGTCCTGCCCAGATCGTTCTGAGCTGGCATGTCGCTCGAGGCGTTTCCGTTGTTCCGAAGAGTTCCAACGAGCAGCGACAAAAGGAGAATTTGGCCGTAAGCTGCATACCTTCACCGGTGATGACGCAACTCACACCTTCATTTTGCTGCCAGTTGCTTAAGCTGGACGCTGACGATGTGAAGCGTATCACTGCCCTCGACCGCAACCAGCGCCTTTGCAACTATGCCAACGAGCGGGGCAAAGTCAATGGTTGGACATACGAACAGTTAGGTTGGTGAGAGCGGAATGACCTAGCGATCCCCGGCTCCCGACATGTACAACTATGAAGAACACCGTCATGCGGTCCTTGGCACAAATGAATCACGATGAGAGAGTTGTGCATTATCTGACATCTGTGGGAGACCTCACCTAAAGTCCGGCTTCTGAGAAATGCGCAGACTTAGCACGCCTGAGCCTGATTGACAGAACTACTGAACTCCCCTCGACGAAGGCTCAGTTTTCTGTCTCGACGAAACTCATTGCGATGGTAGGGTGTGTTTGGCCTAATGTGTCGCCGACTCGTCCACTCTTAACTACAACAGTTGCCAAATTAAGACAGCAATGCTGCCTCGTTGCGGTCACCCGCCGTGCATCAACCACCCTCTTGCACCAAACTTGCGCCCGCGATGCGGCGAACTCTCTCAGTCATTCATTGGGATCACATCTGCATAGCTTAAGATGATCAGGAACAACGGCAGAATCAAACTCATGCACGGGACATGAGGCCATAGCGTCATCGGTGCGTTAACGCGCAGAGACGGCATGTTTCCCCTTTGCCCTGTCTGGGGAACCCATGATAAAAGACGAGCAGGGGACGGCACAGGCGTGGCAGAAGTGTTCTACGAGCGTTGTGTTACGTCTGCGTGCGGTTGTCCCGGCTCTACACTCATGTCTTCGGTACGTTGTCTGACAACATTACAGCACCAGCGAATCGGACTCATTTGTCTACGACGAGCAGAGGAATGTCACGCTTTCTCGACTGGACAGGCTTTACCTTGCGAAGGTGGCAGACCAGGCTGAGAGATATCGAGGTGCATCCGCTTCGTCTACCTCGTATTGCAGCAAACTGACACATTGCACGACTTCCCGAAAGACGTGATTACCCAGCTTAAGGACATCATCAACTCATGCGGTGCACAACTCACAATGGACGAGCGCAATCTCCTTTCAATAGCTTATAAGAACCTGACCGCTAACCTTCGCTCGAGTTGGCGTACTATTGACACACTGCAAAAGAAGGAGGCCCTCTCGTCTACCCGTCAACAGGTCAGGTTAATGCGAGCGCAAAAGGAACTCATCGAGAAGGACATTAACGATCTGTGTAAAGAAGTCTTGAATCTTCTTGAGAGTACCTTAATGCCCGCTGCAGACGACGGAGAAGAGAAGGTCTTCTACTCGAAGATGTAAGTCTCTTCGCGTTCGCCTCCTAGAACTACAAGTTTGACTTGATCAAGGCGTGGAGACTATTATCGGTATCTCGCCGAGCTCACTCGTCTTGGCAACAAAGAAGAGCTCGCAGCAGCGTCGCTCGATGCCTATAAATTTGCGTACAAACTCGCGCTGGAGACTTTACTTCCCACCCACCCTACTCGTCTAGGCTTGGCTCTCAACTTCGCCGTTTACTTCCATGATATACTGCGAAGCCCAGAGAGAGCGTGTCACCTGGCCAAGCACGCATTCGATGAAGCGGTAGCTGCCGCTACAGATTCGCCGTCGACAATCGCGAGCTTGGAGGACTCCTTGATGATACTCCAGCTGATAAGGGATGACATAATACTTTGGCAGGGAGAGCTCAATCGAGGTACATACCAAGGCTCGACCACTTCGTTGGCGAAGTGCTATACTGATGATGTGACCTGATACGATTTCTTAGCGGACTGAAGGGAACCTAAGCCGCTCATGGTTCATCACAGCGCCTGTCCTCGACAACCATTTACCCAAATCTCCATAACGGTTTTTAGCATGTTTGGCGTGTGGTTCCTCTCGAAGCCTCCACGAACCCCATTCTCGACTCCTCACCGCGACTCCCTCAGGCGCTCCGAAGGGGGCCTCTTCGTCGGGCGTACATACCGCCTGTTCGCGTTAGTCGCATATGGTATAGAACACTATCGGCCGCCTGGCGAAATGGCATCGCGTCTGACTACGAAGTAGATTCTTCGAGATCAGGAGATTGCAGGTTCGACCCCTGCGGTGGTCATATGTGCTCCGCTAATTGGGGCGGAGAAAGGGTTAATTTTTGCCTCTTTGGTTTTCCCCCGCGTACTTCGCAGTTCCGTTCCACTTCCGCTTTGTACGATGTGTACTTTTGCCTCCCGCTGCATTTATGATCTGCCCTGTATAGGTTCCCTTTCGGCCATGCGAGTAAGTTGGATGCACCGATCAGCAATCTGTCGATTTCGAATCGGCGGACGTGGTGACGTTAAAACTAGTGCCCTAGGCTTTGCAAACCAACTAGTACAGTTTTACTACGGCAGTTTCAATGTGGCGCTACGATGAACGGTGCTTATTATACTTTAAACCGATGTCTATTGCGCCTGATGATCAGGCTGAACGAATGTCGCCGCCACAAGAAGTGGGAATACGAGGGTAGCATCCGCGAATACCTCACATATAACAATAAATGAAAAGCCTCCAAATCCAGGATGAGCAGCTCCTCACCTTCACCGATTCTGAGCCAGCCCGGATCTTGCCCCATGATACTGCCTCGTCCGGGCGAGCGCCCGAATCTGAACCGTCGAACTCTTGACCAGTGTTCTTATGACGATGTTCAGCCTCTCAACAAGATATCAGTAATGGCTACACTTACGATGTATACAGAATAATCGGCTCCGTTGCGCTACAGACAGCTTGAGTGAGTGATGACAGGAGTAGCAATGAGAAGACGTACGATGAGCATGGCGTTGGCTATCTGATGCTTACAAACACCTCCGCCGAGGATGATCATTCCGGCCTTCCTTGATCTTCGCGAGAGCTCATTCAGATTGCGAATGTCTTGTACAATGTCGACGATGAGCCCCGGGTTTTTGAACGAATGGAAGTAGATCATATCTCCTAGTGATCCATCGGTGAGAGCCGGGCAGAACACAGGGATGTCGTTCTAGCGAGTACATGCAGAGCTCAGTGTGGGTCTGGAACAAGGAAGTAGGCACGTCTATTCACTTTGTACGCCCAGTAGTATACAGATTCTTCGTTATTGATCTCCTTCCCAAGTCTGCGAATGAAGGAACTCGGTGTCCACACATGGCCCGTCTCCTTTTGCTCCGCGAGCATGGTATCAAGGATCGGTGTGAGCCAGTCTTCAAATTTGCAGTAATTGTCATTCGGCACTATGAGATTGCCAATGCGGTTCATGCCTCTTCGTCGCAGGTCCGCGCCATCCAAATTGAAATCCGCAAGATAGGTCTTGCCGAGACATTTAATGAAGTCTTCCTCAATCCCGCCGGCGGTGGTAACAATCGCGCTGACATGCCTGTGCTTCACGAGGTAAAGAATGATCTCTCGAAGTCCTGAAGAGATTAAGTTTGAGGTATAACCGAGGAAAATGTTGCACTTCGTATTAGCGCGGACTTCCGGTGATAGATACTCTTCGGACTCGTCCGCAGCGACGGGCTCATCGGACAACCTCCATTTGCGCTAGCATATATTCGTAAACAGCTCCAAAGGTTATGAGACGAGCATACCATTCTGTTCACTATATCAATAGCTTTTCCTAAGGTGTTTGCCTGGAAACCGATCCGCTTGTAGCTCTCAAGGAGCTCTCGCAGAGACATGTCCTTCTCGAAGTTCGGTCCTTCAACCGAGACGGCGAAATCAGGCATGGGTTCCGAAGGCTTGAGAACAGCAGCAGAGGCATCCAAGGGAACAGTGTTCTCCGTGGGCATATCTACGTAGCACGAACGACAGTTGAGGATAGCAGAAACCCCGGAGGAGAGAGCAAATAGTGTGTGCACACGTCTGGAGAGCTGAAGCACAGAAAGTTGAGCACTTGGACGGGATGAAATTGATCGCACGTTCCCGATCCGATCTCACCCTGTCTAGACGAGTAATACCGAATATAGGCACGCGTCTCGTGACAAGGCAACACCGCCCTCTTTCCACCGCGACTCTGACACAGGCATTGGAGGACTGTCGCAAGCCCGCCGACTTCAAAGCGCCGCCCGACGACCTGGACGCCTCTTCGGAAGACGTCGGCCACCATGGACGCCGCAGACCCTCTTCATGAGGCCGCGATTCCCCTTCCCCCCTCGCCGCCCCCTCATGATGAGCAAATGCCCAATATCTTGTCTAATTTCCAGCCCATGAGAGATCCTGTAGACGAGAATCGAGCCAGGTCAGCAGATGGTGAGCGTAGGAGTGTTTCTGGGGCCGCAGGACGTCAGTCTGTCGAGAGCGAGGTATATCCTCATCCAGAGGCTACAGTTTCTTCGGTCTCCCAAGCTCCGACTTCGTCTTCCAATGGTTCATCGGTGCAACCGTCGGAAGAACCTGAGCAGAGCTCGGGTATGCACTCGAAGACGTCTCAAGAAACTCCACGAGGTGTGGACGAATCGGCAGCTCCCCCGACGCCGCCAGCCAAGCCATTACCTTCAAATCCTGCGTCTCCTGTGACACGTCGCGAGCCCGCCCTACCCTCTTCACCCTCTACATCTAATGGTCATGCGAGACCCTCTGTGGACAGCAGGCCATCGACTCCCCACGGCCGCCACCCGTCGAGGCCTTCGACAGACTTACACAAACGTTCATTGACGCTGACCAAGGGGAACACAGTCTCGGTCGTCCTCATCTCATCTGCTCTGGAGACCATTGCTGCTTCTAAAGAGGCCAAGCGTTCTCCTCCTCTTCGTGATAGCGTGCAGCGCGCCCTCGAAATGGTGAGGTCAGGACAGGGCGGTGATCGCCCTAGGGAGATCTTCGAACCGCTGCGCTTGGCCTGCGAGACGCGCAACGAGAAGCTGATGATAGCGAGCTTGGACTGTATCTCGAAGCTCATCTCATACTCGTTCTTCGCCGAGACCTCGTCAAGTCCTCAGGCACCTTCCTCCCCGCCGCCTTCACCCGGTCCCAACCCTCGTAACTCAATGTCAAACGGCTCGCATCCGTCGTTGCCACCACCATCCTTGGTCGACCTGGTCGTTCATACCATCACCTCTTGTCATAATGAGAGTACTCCAGAGACCGTTTCCCTGCAAATTGTGAAGGCGTTGCTTGCTCTGGTTCTCTCCCCGACCATTCTGGTTCACCAATCATCTCTCCTGAAGGCCGTCCGTACCGTTTACAACATTTTCCTTCTGAGCGTAGACCCTGTAAACCAGATGGTAGCTCAAGGAGGGTTAACTCAGATGGTGAACCACGTATTTGCTCGTTGCAAGCTCAGCAATTCCTCCCTATCTCGGAGCGAGTCTACGACAACGCTCTCAGCCCGCGACAGCGATTTCGGTAAATCGTCGAAGAGACCCTCTATCGTGATGTCTCCACGCCATTCGGTGCCGTTAACCCCTCAGCCATCGTCCCTGAACGGCAATGAGGAAACAGCGTCCACATTAGTCGAGGAGCCTAGCGAAGAGTCGTCGGTTGCACCGTCGGTCGCTCAAACGGAAGAGACTTTGAACGACAGTGCAGAGGATCAGACTTTGGGAGGGGAGAGTAGACATCCGCAGAATCCAGCGTAAGTGATTGTGCACGTATGTAAGTTTTCGATCTTATCTTGTTACCAGACGGCAACCATCCGAGTCTGTTACGAGCGATGCTGCTGTCGATGAGGAACAAGAGCCTATGGATGCGCCACATCGCCAGCTCTCAACGAATGATCTCTTCATCAAAGACGCCTTTTTGGTCTTCAGAGCGCTTTGCAAGTTGACCATGAAGCCTTTGAATAGCGAAAGGTAAATCCGATCGTTCAAATCAAACGCAATTGATCTGATCATGCATCTAGTGAGCGCGATATGAAGTCTCACGGAATGCGGTCAAAGTTGCTCTCGTTGCATTTGGTTCTCATGATCCTGGAGTCGCATATGCCCATCTTCGTATCCCCTTCAGCGATCATCTATTCCTCTTCGTCTAATGAGGCTACGCCGTTCATTCAAGCTGCGAACCAGTATTTGTGCTTATGTCTGAGCAGGAACGCCGTTAGTCCTGTTCCACAAGTCTTTGAGATCAGCGTCGAGATCTTCTGGAGGGTTATTTCCGGTCTTCGCACCAAGCTCAAGGTTCGCATTGTTCCACTGCTCGTACTACATTATCCTTGATATGTGCCTATAGAAAGAAATCGAAGTCCTGCTGCACGAGATCTTCATCCCAATTCTTGAGATGAAGACGTCGACGTTGAAGCAAAAGGCTGTCATCCTCAGCATGCTCCAGCGATTGTGCCGAGATCCTCAAGCTCTAGTGGAGATATACCTGAACTACGACTGCGATAGCGAGGCGGCCGACAATATCTATGAGCAGTACGTATTTGTTATACATGGACAGACCATGCGTACACTAATGAACTGTTAGCCTGATAAACATCATTTCCAAGATCGGCAGTGCACCTGGATCGTTGGCACCTCACAAGGGGAACGATCCCAACAGCCCCGCTTTGCAACCGCAGACCAAGCAACATCATAGCTCCGGCCAAGTTCCACCTTCCTTCAGCACAGCCTCGCTCGCTGTCCCTAACACCGTCGATGTCTCCACCATTGGTAATTCCGAGGCGCAGCTACGGAGGCAAGGGTTGGAATGTCTGGTCGCGGTGTTAAGGTCTTTGGTTGCGTGGGGAACGACAAGCTCGTCTCCTCCCGAACACGTTATGGACCCGATGACGCGTTCGCAGGCGGAAGAAGCACGCCGAGACAACATTACTCCCGACGTGTCGACGGATAAGCTCTCGCCTGGAGGCACGGAACCGACGAGAGGTCCGACGCCTGAGCTTGTTGATGATCCTTCCAAGTTCGAGAGCGCCAAACAGAAGAAGACGACGTTGCTGGAGGGTATCAAGAAATTCAACTTCAAACCTAAACGCGTAGGTTGCAGTGCTTAACTGACCAGGACAGTACTGATCTGCTTGTTCATAGGGCATCGATTTTCTGCTCGAGACTGGCTTCATCCCCAGTAGAGACCCGAAGGCGATCGCGCGATTTCTGCTAGAGACAGACGGCCTTAACAAGGCTGCTATCGGCGACTATCTCGGAGAAGGGTGAGCGATCCGCTTACATGTTT